TTGGTAGTGGTAGGATGAAAAATTTGTTTCACTGAAAAAAGGGCTATATATTATATAGTCAACAATGATTAATTTATTATTAAAACTAATGTAGAAATGTAAATCTTTAATATATATTTTTTTAAAAAATCTTTTCTAATCATAAAATTTACTTTCTATAAATGTTTAGTTATTAAGGTGGAAGAAATTAACAGAGAGGGGGGGGGGGGAGAGAACAAGCTTGGAGCTTATTAGTCAGAGTAAAAACTTAGTATGAAAAAGGTAAATCAGATCATTAACTTTATTTTCTTGTTCCATTTCATTTTCAATTCATTGACCATTTTACACCTTGCCTAACAAAAATTTCATGAAAATGGGTAAATATTTCTCGTATTAGTTTTACTGGAGAGGAAAAAAAGCTAATCAGTTATGAAAGTTAGCTTTATTTTAAACTGCTAAAAGTTGTTTAAAAAATTTTGATAAGGAATACAACCAATGCATTTCAGTGCTGTATAAGTTTATAAGCAACAAAGAAATATAAATGAAGACAAACATGTAAAGAAAATATGATTTTTACATTATTGCATGTGGTTGTGATTATTAAGTCTCATTTCAAATAGCTTCCTTTTTTCTAACACCAACTCATTAGGAATACCAGTACTGGTACTAACTAGACATGGATTCCATCTAAACAGGACCAAATATATGACATACAGAAAAGAATTTTCTACCACCTCCCCACACTGCACCGGGTACATTTTCAAAAGACTCCACCTATGCATAACCTACACAATTCCTCAAAAGCTGCTCAAGACTAACTTTTTGAGCACTTACTAAATTCTCATGTCAAAATTATTATCTATTAATAATTAAGTTGGCCTATTTTTTTTCTATAGAAATGCTTTATTTTTTTTTAAATATCTCACCGTTTTTAGAAACCAACTTTTACTTAAAAAGTTTGACTACATTTCATCCCTTTTGATTAGTTGTCATTTAAACTAATTCTTTATTTTATAATAGAATGACAATCAAATATAAAGTCAAGAGACATAAAATAAAAATTGCTCAGGAAAAAGGCTCATCTTTTATGAAAGAACAATGACAAAGATTATTTTCTAAAATTGAGACACCAGTAGAAGACTTCTGACAGGGAGGTAAACAAATATGTTATCAAGATTATTGTTGAACCATGCAAATGCAATGAAAATGAGCTAGATTTTTGTCTTTCTTTTATGTTACAATTAGAAATGTTTACTATGCGACTGTCTAAACATCCTCTGCCCCATTCATATGCAAAATCTCCTAATCTGACCAACCCCTTAACACCAACACAATTTTTGGATGGTCCTTTATTCAGATGAAAGTACAACAAACAGTTTAATATACATGCTGTTATTTTCCAGCTATCACATATTAAGGGCCAAAATAAATTGGACTTTATTAACTCTTTATTATCAAAATATTTAATTTTAAGAGCCTTTTACATTGAAACTTAAATATCTAAAGTGCTTAAACTAAAACCTCTGCCCATGGAAATAGCATAAATATTTATAGGGCAATTGTAAAGTGTGGCTTCCCTTAACTGAATTAAATGTTCCAGACAAAAGCTTCAACACAAATTTGATACTTAAAATTCCAATGACAGGAGCCTGCATATAATTGCGATATAGGCTCAACCAATTCGTTTAATTTTACTATTTGTAGGAATGATTAAAAAAGTTAAGTATTAGATCTAATCAATTTATACATGGAGTGGAATTTAACAAAAAAAAGTTATTAATCAATTTATACATGGACTGGAATTTAACAAACTCACACAATAATGTGAAACAGAAGCCAAGGAAAATGCATAATTTAATGAAAAGTTCTGAGGGTTGACCAGCTAAGAGTACATAGGAAACACAGGATATATAAGTATAAGCAGGAAAGAATATCATCCCAAGTGTGTAAATTTCTCTCTTTTTAAGTTCAAACTGATAATGCAACAACATCCCCCAACCCGCCTGCCCAACAATAATATTGTTCAGTGAGAATACCTATTCATTAATTGGCCTATCTCTAAGCCAAGTTTCCAGTGTAGTAACAGTTAATGTGCAACATAATTTATTTAATCACCATGCTTATGTTTATTTTTTTCTAGAAACGAATATCTTTATTTTGTATATGTCAACAGAAGGAAGAAATAAGAAATGATAAAGTAATAATCACAAATGGGAATTCTCACAAAAAGGAGTGAGATTTTAAAAAATAAATAAATACAAATTTCATTATTTATTCATATTTTATATTATAGTACCATCCATAACAATTTATTCACCGATCAGTTTTTCAGCAGATTAAAAGTTAGTGAGTGCTGATTAAATTGTAATGAAGAATGTGGTTGCCTTAATCCCATTGATCATAAATCACAAATATAATATAGAATAAATTGATTCATATGTTGTGCCCTTCCTGTGCTGCTCACACTTGGCTTGATAACTGTGTATAATTAATAACAAAGTTACATAGAGATAATATAACTTTTTTTTTCCCCATTGTAATTTTGAATTTCAAATCAAGATATTATTTTTTTGTAGAACAGATTATATCATATTGAGCAGACAATGTGAAATATACTCAGGAGAAAGTAAAAGCAATGTAGTAGTGCTATAGTAGAGCATCAGTTATCCAATACACCAGATACCATAACTGCCCATCTTTTTATTATTATAATACACAATGCACATGGCATAAAGTATTGGAGTACAAACATCAGAAAACAATTCCGACCAGTTGAACAATCCTGGTAAAATCTATATATGTACTGAACACGCAGGTAACCCCAATACAATGTGTGTCTCATGGTAAGACAAGCAAATACATTGTACAATAAAGCACCATTACGTGCATAAGGAAAGGATATATTGAATTCCATGCACAAACTTTTTTAAACCAAGCTTTCTGTGGGAGTGTTCCTAAAAATAGGTTACCTGAACCCAGTCCTAATTATGTTGGATAATAAACACTCAACTGTATTAATTTTGAGAACAGAGAAAAGCTGATGTAGTCAGAATTTGTTTTATACTTTATACTGATCATCAGGTTAGGTTTATTTTCTTAATAAAATCTGCTGAATAAATGCAACAGGCATTGAACAGTATTATAACTTAATCTCATTTTTAAGTTATTGCAAATTGAGTGCATTGAAATGTAATGACCTAGCAAAGGAAACAAATTCTTATGTACATTTTGTAAATTCAGCAGGAATAACAGATCCTAAATGTTTTATTATCATGGCATTGATTAAGATGGTGCTGGGCAAAAATAATTCATGAGTAAGTTTTTGAAATAGGATAATTATGAAATTCTTTTCTTCTGCAAAAAAAATAAAAAATTTTGAACAGTTTTTAAATGGGTAGCTATAACTTCAAAATAATGATATAACTAATTCAATTCTATTCCAAGTTTGTTTTGGTGAAGGCATCTGTTATTCAGTGACTAAAACCGAGCTTTAAAATAGTGTAAAGCTTCATAAATTAAGGCAACTATATAGGGCAGATATTGTTACCGTGCTGCCTAGGATATTTTCATTTAAACTTAATTGCAATATTAAATTTTACTTTAATCCACTATAAATGCATGAATATAAAGAACTTAATTAAATTTAGTATTTATAAAGTGTGGTATTATTTGTTACATGTGGTATTTCGGTAAACCCTGAAGGCAAGGCTTGAGCAGATCCATTCCTGTCTGAATGACAAGTTTGTTTCTTGAGTTTAAGCCTTAAAATTTTATTTGAGGTAGAACTTATGTCTGTCATAATTTTTTTTAAATGTGCACTTTAAAAATATTTAAAAAAATATTTTTCAATAGCAAATTTCAATTTTATTTTATTTCCAATAATTTCAGTTTTTATGGTACCAGTGTAGCTAAATCTGCGGTTGCCAGAGTGGTCAGTACCCACTCTCAGGGATTTGGTGTGTGTTAAAGAGTCTCAGAAAGTCGAGGAGAAATTGATCTCCTAAAATGCATACTGGATTGTTAGAGTATGTTATTTTTAAAATAGGTTTATAATTATACATCAATTAACTGCAAGAGGAATATCAGAAAATGACCTTGAACTAAATCAACAAGATTTTTTTCTTTAAGAAAAATAATTGTGCTGATTTTCATTTATGGAAATGGTAAAAATAAGACTGGTTTAACATTTTTACCAATAACAACTTTTATTTTTAACCTATAACCTTAACTTGTATGTCAAACACAACATAACAATGCCAAATGTATATTTTAAAGTAAATTATAACAATCTAGTTTAGTAACAAAATTTAAGAAATTATAAATTAATAAACTGAGAATAAATTACTCATTTATCAAAAGCTTTTCTCATGAGCCTTTGCAATTTAGAATAGCTCCTAAAAAATTTTTTTTTCAAAAGTATTTTACCAAGTTGTAATTGCAAGTATGACCAATCTTTTATTACGTCTGTACATTTTCTATCTTTTCATTTTTGTGATTGTGCATTTTTAACTCGATGGCTTTGTCTTTAGAGTTCAGAGGATTTTAAGTATTCTTCATATTTCTTTTGTTGGGCTGAGTAAAGCTTGTTTAGTTTCTTGAGAGCACTTTTTGGGATTTCTCCACCTGCAGCATCATGAGTTGGAATACCCTGAAAGATATATCAAAATTAAAGGATATTATATGGAAAATCTAACATTAACTTTGACTTCCTATAAAAGGGTTTGCTAAATTAAAATTAGTAGACAATACTTGCTTTGGGGGAGCTATGACATTATTGTGCACTTCTTGAGATTGTACTTGCTACTTCAGTCCCCACAAGCTGTACACTGAGTACAAATGACACCCAGCCTCATTACCCCATTTAGCTACTCTGATTCATATCCTTATTTGCAAATATTATACAACCAAAATCTCTACCAAGTAGCAATTTTTTAAAAATGTTCAACTGCTAGAGCCCTAGTTTAAAATCAACTAAACACAAAAGCAATAAAATAAAAAACAAATATTGAACCAGTGCTTACTTTGTCATCAAATCTTGAATATTTATCCGTATCACCTTTAAAAAGTTCTGATGGTGGAATTCTTTTCTGGGCCTCTTTAGCTTCCTGTATTATAAATGGGATCATATTTTCAGTTTCTAATGCTTAACACATTATCTGTGATCCAATATATATGATTTTATCTCAAATAACATGGAAAAGTTTAATTACATAATAAATTTAATTACCATTTCAGCCCTTTTCTTTTCCTTCTCTAGCAATTTCTTTTCCTCTTGCTTCATTAAAAAGAAAAGATTTTAATGATTAGATCAAGTAAAGTTTAAATTTACAACATTGTTGTTTAATAAAAACAGGCATTTTAAAAGTGATTTTTTTTGTGTATTACACATAATGAATTTGTTTCTATAAACTTTAAAGTGATTGAAACTTAAAAGATTTATATTATCCTTTTTCTTTTTTATTTCTCTCAAGAGGTAAATATGTTAAACAACATAAAGATAAGTTTAGCAATGAAAATGATTTCAGGTCTTGTTTTCAAATCAGTACCTAATAGATAAATGACTGTGTTATAATCTTTAAACAGGTTTTTGACCTACCCTCTTTTTCTCTTCCTTCTCTTTCAACAGCTGTTCTTTGTCAACAAGTTTAATAACAGTTGGTGTCCCTTCATGATCTTCTAACCTGACACCAAGGTCTGGTAACACATCATCTCGGACTTTGTCACATACCAACAAGATGTCTTTCTCTTGAAACAGGAAACAAGATAATACAATACAACTAACCTTTTCATCTTTTGTTGTTGAATGTATTTGAACAAAATACAAGGAATATATAAATACAATCAAAAAGGCAATGAGCGAAACAAAGTATGGAAAACCCTGAAACAAAAAGACCCAACAAAACAATGAACATGAACAAGAAACAACAGTAAAATCAGAATAAAATAAAAATAACACCTAGCTGTAATGCAGTATCTGAGAGAATAGCAAGAGGCATGAGACAGAACATAAGTAGGTGAGACCACAGAAAGAGGAATGTGACAGAACAGAAGTAGGTGAGAGGACAGCTAGAGGAACGTGACAGAACATAAGAAGGTGAGAGATTAAATACAGGCAAAAAGGGACAGAAGAGAGGAAAACTAATTCCACTGCGAATGGTCGTAACGAGGAGGAGAAAAGGTTTAACAGGTTGATGAAAACATGAAATTCATGTCATGTGGTGTCAAAGTTCCATAAGGTTCCATACTGCTGTTTGTTCGCTGACACGTTTGTTGTTTTGTTGCGTCCCTCTGTTTCAGGTTTCCAATGCTTTGTTTCCCTCATTGCCTTTTTTCTAACCTGATTGCAGTCTCTCCCCCTTATTCCTATAATACAATTACTAAACCTTTTGATCTTGAATTTTTTTTAATATTTAGATTTTGTATTTATTTGTTCTTATTTTTAAGATAAAAGATTTGCATCAACAATCATTTTTTTTGAAGCTCTAGTGCTAGCAAAGATCATTGTTGGTTTCAATAAAAATAGACTTTGCTTAACATATGTAACCATTATTATGTGAGGGGAGCCTTACGCTTTGTTTCCTTTGCAAGTGTCCTAATACTGTCCCTGAAGTCTGCAAATGCTGAGAGATAGGGCATCACTGTTTCCTCAACCTGGATTTATAGTAGATTTTAAAAATATTTTGTGATAAACATCTTTGAAAATTATATAATTTTAATAAAATGTAATCTGTTTATATACAATGAAACACTTGTAATCAATAAAAATAAAAAAAAGATTTCTTTAAAATTTTGTTTTATATAAAATATGATTTATATTTATATTTGAATTACTCCTAAAAGAAAATACCCACATTTGCATTCTGTGAACCACCCTGAGGGAAGCCAATAATTTGCTCCTTAGGAACAGCACCAAAAACCTACAATAAAAAAACATTAAATTACAATTACACATTTTATTTTAAAAGAATTCATTTCAGCCCTATAATAATCTTAAATTGTATTTTTTTTAGTTGAAAAATCTTCAACAACCAATTTTTATTTCATAGCCGTAAGTATTTATTAAAAATGAAATGCTGAATGTACCTCAAGCAGATCTGTAATGTAAGCTCCAATGTTCATCAATAACTTTCTGTTGACTTGTCTGTGGCTGGTGCGTGCTGCTGACATATAAGAATTTCCAGCAGATACAAGTTCACGAATGTGTTCAAGGGCACTCCTGGTATCAACATTGTCTGGGAAAGATATATGGATTACAAATTTGTTTTTTTGTCTTATTTATATCTGAAGCCTAACTTATTTGGCAGTGTGAAAACCTACATGGAATATGTGTCATTGACCTGTTCTTTTTTAAGTTTGATAAATGTCTGAGATATGCCTGAAACAAATCCTCAGTGTGAACTCTAAGTGGTGTAATGTGTCAACGTTATGGACTAAAGGAAGATTATTTACCACAAAGAGATATGTGAACACCCTTGCATTTGTTCTGAAATTTTTCATTGAGTTTGACCTCCTCTTCTGTCCATTTAGCAAAAGCAGCAACTCCAAAGGATGGAATGGATCTCACACTGTCTTTAACATTTAGGAAAAACTCCTGTCCACAACAGAATTAAATTTAGACAAATAATAAACTTTTCATCTTTTCATTCTTTTACTAGATTTAGACTTCAAAAGAAGGGAAGCAAGTTATCACACATCAGTTACCCAAACTTAACCTTATAACACCTTTAACACATTCTATTATTTGAACTTTCTTTATTTTTATGACGATACTTGAAAGTTATCAATGGCCATTGTAATAACTCAGCCTAAAGTTATTTCATGTATCATATGAGGGGAGTATGCAATTCAATTTATTATTTTAAAAAATGAGGGGATTGATAAAATTTGGAAAATGAAGGCTGCCTTATCTATTCCAAATTCAGGAAATAAAGCCCATTGAAAATTCAGAATCTTACAATTTTCAGAGCTATTGATTGTTTTTAACTTACATTGAGTGTCCTCTCATACTCAAGTGCAACATCCATTGTTTTCTCACTGTAATCTAATGTATCCTTCCATGCATGCAGTAGGTACATGAGTCTCAATTGTCTGGATGTGTACTTTTTTAAGACATCCTTGATGGTAATGAAGTTTTTCAGTGACTTTGACATTTTGCAACCGTCAATGGTTAAGTGGCCAGAGTGGACAAAGTATCGGACCCAATGGTCGTTTTCATAATAAGCCTTGAGAAATAAATATCCCATGAAAAACATTTTTTCAAACAAAAAATAAGAAGGATACGTTTTAAATGCTAACTAGCTAGAGTTGACTTTGAAGATTTTTTAAAATGTGAATATTTAAAGTTCTTTAAAAGATTAAAATCAGATGAATGAACCAAAGTACAATACAAATACAAGGAAACACATTTTTAAATGGTATAACATACTTACTTCAGCTTGAGCAAGTTCATTGTCATGATGAGGAAACTTTAGATCAAATCCACCAGAGTGGATGTCCATGGACTCTCCAAATATATCACTGGCCATTACAGAGCATTCTATATGCCATCCTGGGCGGCCCTGTTAACAAAAACAGAAATCAATTAAACTCTCAGGCAAGATGGGTTGATTAGGTACCTGTTCAGGAATCAAGTTCCAATTTGACTTTTCTTTATTTTACAGTAGTGCAACCTTCTAAAATTTTCTTAATTTTATTAAAATATTTGCAGGAACTATTAAAAATTACCGCATCAAAGATATCTCAGGAATTTTCAAAGCTATTATTAGCTATTTCATTAAGTTAAAGAAATGTTTGTATCCTCACCTTTCCCCATGGGGAGTCCCAAGAAGGTTCTCCAAGTTTGGAAGCTTTCCACAAGGCAAAGTCTGTAACATTATGTTTTTCACTTTGCTGCTCTTCAGTCAAACTCAGCTCACCTTAAATTAACAATAAATAAAGTAAGAGAATGAAAACCAGGATTAAAAACTTGTCAGATTGTTAGAATTCCTTTTGAAAATTTCAGAGAAAATTGAAGAAAAAAAATATTTATAAAATATAAAAATAAAAATATAACAAAATTTATTTATGAAGATCCAAAAACTAATAATAATTAACTTTAAAGAAATTTAATTTCAAGTTTAATTTAAACATTATGCCGAATAATAATTATTTTACATTAACTTTAAAAAAAATTTAAAAAAAAAAAAAGCATAAGAAGTAAATACCCTCTCCCTCAGCAAGTGCTCGTTTGTCGCCAAAAGCTTCAGGCAACATTTTAGCATAAAAGTGGTTGGGAGCAGCATCAAAAGCTTTTGTGTCAAAGTATACGGAGCCATTTGAGGGATAGCTGTAGAATGGCATAAACAGAATTTAAACTAAGATTTTTAAAAATACCACTACCTTATTTTTTTTAAAAATGTACTTTGACAAGTTCAGTTTTAAACACTTACAAGAGGACATTTTAAAAAACCACATTAATAAGGAAAATCATATATAATTAAATGAGGCTATTAGTGATAACAATAAAAATAATAGGAACAAAAAGGAAATATGTTTAGGTCAATAGGCTATTCTAACTTAATGCTTAATGATGTAGGAGTAGTTAAAAGACACAGAGTAGTGTTTTGCATAAGCCACTTGTGAACTAGCTTAATGAAAAATTCTGTAAAAAAAGACACCTACGCATAACCATTTTCAATAATTTTTTTAATATATTCTACAACTTCCGGGATGTATTCGCTGACACGGGTCAAAACATCAGCTGGCAGCACCTGAGTGAACAGACCAACAAAATCAGTTAAATTATAATAAAAAAGAAATTTGTAAAAATCTTTTTACACTAAAGCGATTTGTTAATAGAGTTGATAGAGATACACATTCCGGCATGCTTTTAGGCTTTAACTTTGTGGGGTAAAAAAATTTTACTTCGCCACTTACATTTAAGGCTTCCATGTCTTTGTGAAATTCTTCTTCCCAATGCCTTGGAAGATCAGCAAAGATTTTGTTATCTGTTACCTTGGAGCCCTTCTCCTTGTCAAGCCATGGTGCCAACACATCTCTAATTTCTACTAGTCTGACCTGTTCAAGCAAATTTGTATGGCAAATTAAGAAAGATAAGCTTTGATTATGTTAAAATCTAGAAGTAAAAAAAAATGTTGAAACAAGTTAAAGAAATAAATATACTTCTTAACAACAAAATAAAAAGGACTTGTGACAGATTCGGGTAAGAGAAATCTGTACCAGCAATATAACAAAACCAATTGTTATACTAACTAGCAATGTAACTACTAAAGTATAAAGGAATTTTTTTAAAGAGTAACAGAGAAAAGGCATATACATTTTTTACCCAATTTTTTAATGTTGTATTAAAAAAATTTGGAGAAAAAAAACATCACTTAAATTTAAGGATTTTTTAAACTAATGGGAGTCGCTTAGTCACTTCCTTTTTTGGTCACGTGATGTGAGTAAGCCATCACTAGGCTGCTACACACAACAAAAGATACTTCATCAGTGCTTCCCCAATGTCATGTTACTTAAAAATTTTACCTTTCGAAATATTCTGGAATACATGCGTAAGCCATCACTAGGCTGCTACACACAACAAAAGATACTTCATCAGTGCTTCCCCAATGTCATGTTACTTAAAAATTTTACCTTTCGAAATATTCTGGAATACATGCGTTTTTTAAATGAAATCCATAGATGTGACAATAAATATACGTCAGTTATGATTAAAGGAAGAAAGTTATTTCAAGAAAAATTTGTGAGCGATATTCGATGGGAACTATCAATACCATTATCGGCAGGATGTTGTTGAGCTCCGTGCGTGCTCATGACGTCATTTGCGTTTTTATTCAATATTGATGCAGGAGTCATTCCCCTTTGTTTATTTTATTGTTAATTTTCATTGGACGAAATGTAGTGTAGTTGTAGTGTGTAACGGGCTACTGTTGTCAAGCACTAGTGTGTTGTATACAGCCTACCGGAAATCTTACTCGTTTTTACTCACATCACGTGACAAAATAATTGACTAAGCGACTCCCATTATCCAGCTGTTCCTCACAGCAGCTGAGAATAACATGATATTTATTAGGTCATGAGTGCCAGTTGAAAATTAATTTGTTTTTTAGAAATGACAATGTAGCTATTCTTCCCTGATTCATTTTAATATATCACCAGTTTTGTATCTGCACTTGACCCCTTTGCAGTAGATACTCGATGGAGTACCTATATCATTAAGTAGCGGAATTTACATTCTTGCTTGTACCACAGTATTTATCAATAGAATATATATCAGCCTCTAAAAAATTCAAACAAACAAACTTGTTTCATTCCAAGCAGCAATCATTTTTATGTAATTTTTGGGGGAGAGGAGAGAAATAACCTCTTTGTTATGAGACAAGTTATTTTAGTCCCTTATGATTTTTCACACATATCAGCTGACTTTCAAACCAGACCATGACTTGCTTAGACATGCCATGCAGATATTAGAGTACATAATTCATACTCGTTTACTGTATAAAATCCTTTATTTAAAAGTAAACATCATTCTGAGATTTAATCTACTTTTTCTATAAAGACTGATACAAAATAATTTATCGTTTTGCACAAATCACTAACCTATTGGTTTCTTTACCCTTCATTCGAAATCTCATTATTGTTCATATTTTTAAAAATAAAAATGGATGTGTTTTGGCTAAGTTTTATACAACAGTTTGAAAGCACACATCTCAATATCTTGTCTATCTAGTATTCAAAATATATAAGGCATTAGTAAAAATGCTCTTCATTATAAAGTATGCCATGCCTTGAAGACTAGCCGAAACAATGGTTAACAAACCTTCAGGGAGTTTTAGGTAAATCAATACATGCAGAAGCACCAAGCTCCATGCCTTGTTAGTTGTTAGTAGTATATACAGGGCACTTCTAAAAAAATTTATATATTACAGTATTCACATTTTGTCCAGCATCTCCACTGTCCACAAGCGCCTCCACTTTCTGCTGCATTTTTGTCAACATATTGTGCTTGTCTGGGTCAATCTCTTTGGCAATCTTAGCCTTCAGACTCTGGGGATATGAACGTACAAATAAAATTAATTTTAATACATATCCGCAGGCGGACCCACCGAAAAATTATATTTTCAAGGGTAAGCAAATTAAATTCAAATTAAAAAGGTTTAGCAAGTGAATGAGAACATGACATTCATGCCATGTTGTGTCAAAGGTCCCAAAAGTCTGAATCTGGTTTTTTTCCAAGTTCACCCTCCTTGTTACGACCAAAATTGCAGTGGACTTATCTTACTCTGGTCAGTCCCCAACTGGCTGTATTAGCTCTCTCATTTACTCATGTTCTGTCAGATTCCTCTTGCCGTCCTCTAGGATAGTAGACTGCGGCTAGATTGCAGCTAAGAGTTTATTTGTATTTATATTGCTTTAACTGCTGTTTGTTCGCTGAAGAAGGTTTCTTGTCGACATGTTTGTTGTTTCCTTTTTTCAGGTGTTCTCATACTTTGTTTCGCTCATTGCATTTCATTAACCTGTGAAACTTTCAATGAAATTACTAATATACTAGTTGTAGCCTGCCAATGTCAAAGGCAGCAGCAATGGATGAACTTCTCATCTGCTAAAGTTACTTGAAAAAACATACCTTCTAGTAATGCACTTCATAAGAATCCTTATTAGTGGTGACCCCACCCCTCCAGGTTTACAACCGCATACTTTTTTTTACTTCCCTTAACTAATACTCTAATGCCCCACACCCTTTTACATCGTAGATTTATTACTTCATATTTAAATTGAGACTTTATGTGAAACAAAAAAATATTACGCACCAAGTGCACTTGCTGTATTTTTTAGAACCTCATTTAGCTCAGATATATGGGAATTTTAGTTTGCATGCTACTGAACTCACCATTCCACCATACTTTCTGTCATCCCTAAAGAATTATATGCATCGATGAGATTTGAGCCTGGCAAATTATAATGCACATGCAACTTCTTACTTAAGGTTTGAAGTACATGGTATGACAAAATGTAAACTTTGTCCTTTCTTTGTTGTACAAACATCACATGGGGATCACAATGGTTAATATATGGAGAAACCAGATTTGATTTTGTCTTTTGGTATTATTTAACTCGACTTATCAGTGTGCTGTGTATTTATTATTATTGGTGGTTTTATACAGGGCGGTACCCCAGCCTAGGGCTGGGCTCATCGTGCTGTACATACAATTTAACAAAACATAATCAAGAACTTAAAAATTAACATACATTAATTAAATAAAACAAAAAAAATGTATATTCACTCCACACATTCAAGAACTATTTACATGTCAAGCCATAGACGGCGACCCAGCAGCATCGTTTTATCGATCGGGGGGGGGAGGGGAAATCAGTCAGGATAGTTAAGGTTAAAGAGATGTGTTTAGAGTGCAGTTTTGAAGGCTGAGATGTGATGGTCGGTATATTGCGAATGTGTAGTGGAAGAGAATTCCATTGTTTGGGGGCAAGAAAGAGAATGATCATTCACCATATGTTTTTGTGCGAGTCTTGGGGACAGAAAGAATAGGCGCATCTGCGGCGGAGGAAGTTGGAATTATTATTATAATTTACATTAGCTTTAAAATATTTTTACCTGAAATACAAATAATTTGTATTGATTTTTTTTACATACACATTTCTGTATTCTCAATTTATTACCTCTAAAGCTGCTCTGACATCCTGTTTCACTTGTTCTGGCCTAGGGTTACTGTCTATGTACTGCTGCATCAAGTAGTTCTGACGAGCTCTAACGATGATCTGAAATGTTACAAGAATTATACTGTTCCTGAGTATCTTAAGACATATTATTAAGCTTTTTTTATAGATTTTTAATTAAGAATAAGTAAAAATGTGTGCACCAAAAACTTTAATCGAGACTCCAACCACTTTGAATAAAAGGTACAAAATGATTCCATAAAGAAATTACAAATAATATAAATTGCATTTTCTATAAGACTATAAATGACTCTGAGCCTTTTGAGGGTTGCTTGTGACCTTTTCAAACAGCTTGAGAGCCTCTAGTTTAAAGTATAAAATATAGCCTGAAAGTCTGGGTACATATAGCAATAAAAAAATATTTTAACATTTAAAAAAAAAAAAGTATTTCTTTTAAAAATTATTTTGAAAGCACTAAAAATTAGAAAATAGTTTTCTTAAAATTCATTACACACATAAATTATGTGCAGAAAAGTAGTAAGACACTCTATAAAGCCAAAGGATTCCAATTAAATGAAGAGGAGATTTAAATAGTTTTTTTTCTCTAACTTTTGAAAATATTTTCTCCACAGACTTTCTTAACGTAATGAATTTTTAAGAAATTTTAAGTAAATTATTTTCTACCTTTTTTGTGTGTTTAAAATTGTCCTTTAAAAAAAAAAAGTCATTTTTAACAATTTTTTCAAATATTTTTTATTTTCTATTTCTTATTTTGAAAACGTTAATCTGTGAATTATCAACAAAAGCAGCTTTTTAAAAAAAATGAAAAATGCTTACAAAATCCAGAGTATTGTGACAGCTTTTACTCTGGCATAAAACTAAAAAGTAGAATTTAATGTCTGCTTGCTGTCCGTTGATCAGAGTCTAATTGCCAAAATATCTTGCCCCAACACCTTACCCTGTCCCATCCCAAAATCCTACAATAAGGACCCATGGTTATTGCACGCCAAGGGGTGGGGTTATTGTTTTCTAACACCTTTTCTAATTTCCCTATCACTTAACACTCTATTCCCCCCCCCCCCCCCCCCCTCTTTTTCCTAGACCAGACCTGTTTACTCTTACGATTTTGGCGTACAATGTACGATTTTTAGGTGTATAGGTTGTATATACTGTTTATTTTTTTACTATAACTATAACGTATTGAACGCTTTTGTGATGATATTATACGCTTTTAAGAGTTTGAGGGTAAACAGGTCTGCTAGACCCAGCACACTGAAGCGGTAACTCAGGTCAGCACAAGACAGACGATGAACCAAAAGAAAGAGAGTATCCCGGGTGTAAACAAAAAATTATGATGAACAAACTTACAAGATGAAAATGTGAGTAGATTGAAGTCTTTAAAAAGAATCTGTCTCTATTTCAACTAAAAATGAAATCTGTCTGTCTTCGGATAATTGATTATCTAACGAACTAGCGGATAAGCCTGTTTGGCATTGACTTACAATAATCTATTGAATTTTTATAAAAATGATAGCATGAAATGGTTTTTCACTAATAGTTTTGTCTGGTGTTGTTTCTAAAATAGGACTTTCTAAAAGAAGCTACAAAAACACTGTGGCAGACCTAAAGAATGAAAGCAATATCAAACACCAAACAATTTTTTTAAAATTAGAAAAAAGGCACTTTTTTTTTTTTATATATATCACTATTAGTTTAAGCACATTAATACTGTGCCTCAAAATAGAGACAATGCTACCCCTCAGCTCACCAACCTTATCATCAACATCTGTTATGTTCATGCAATAGAAGATGTCATACTTGAAGTAGTCCTTGAGAACTCGTCTCAGTATGTCAAATGAGATGTATGACCTGAAGATAAGGATACCTTTATAACAACAAACTGAATTTATACGATACTAATTGAAAGTCATAACATGCTGCATTTTCATGTTAAGATTGCAGGGCAGTTAAATTTATTTTAAACTGAGGTTGGCTGACAGTTTTTAAAAAAGAAAAATAATCTGATAAGATAAGACTTTTAAAATCTACAAGCTTCATTTAAAATCTACATGTAAATGTTTATGTCCTATTAAAATATTTCAATGAAAAATTCAGAATAAGAATTTTTTTAGTCAGTCTAAGTAAAATGAAAAGTATAACCGTTCCATTATAGAAAGATATAAAATATTTTTCATGTTTCTTTTTAGCTATTCAGTCAAATGAATTTGATGACATTTCTCAAATGTTTGTCTTCCATTTTTTTGTAATTTTTTAAATTATATTCAATCTTTGATAATACTGATACTAAATTAACTTCGCTTCAACTTCAAAATAGTTTTCAAAGTTTGAATATAATTACTTTAATTTTTTTTTTAATGTTCTACTTTTTGAGAAACACTCATCTAATATTTATAAATAAATAAGTTAAGGTAAACCTGGCATGGCCCATGTGTGAGGCATCATACACGGTGGGACCACAGTTATACCATGTCACTGTATTTCCAGACTGTGGTACAAATACTTCCTTTGAAAAAAGAAAGTTCATCATGATTTCCAGAAAAATTCAATTTTTAAGATTCTATAGAGCATTGATTTATGTGGAATTTTTAAAGAGAAAATGGGGGGAAAAAATATTTATTTATGCAAACAAATATTAGACAAATCTAAGTAGAGGTGTTGTCATAATATAAATAGCACATGAGCACTTCCAACACTGCATCAAAAGAAAAATAGATTTGAGTAGTAAATCAATTAAACTATGCAATGGTTATTTTGTTAGCATAATATATATAATTATTTTACTGATCATAATTTACACACTTTTTTATATAATGCTGACAAATGGATGAAATGTCTTGCCTCTTACCTTATGTCTAGTCAAACTATTGTAAAGACTTAATTTTGGCTTGCCTTCTCCAGAAGGCGGATCCCATTTAGGTTGTACTCGTTTCATTTTTAAAGATGTATTTTGATCTAAAATCAAAAAAAAAAATTTGTTTAACAATAAATTAAATGAATTAGAATACACACATTATCAAGCAGTCTCACAAAGTGTGACATAAACTTTTGTGCACCAATATAAATGTGTACATTGTGCTGCTCTTAAGTCCTGTTTCACTTGTTAAGGCTTAGGGTTACTGTCTATGTATTTGATGAGTTTTTATGTTTTTATGAAGCTAAAAATAAAATATGAGATTACTTAGTGTTGACTCTATAACTTATAACTTATAACAAGTTATGAGATAGGAAATTGATTCCCTTATGAGGTGATTGCAAACATCCCCACCCCAAATTTTAAAGTAAACACCAATTCTGAAGAAGTGGTTTGGGGTTAATCTTGTATTTTAGCATTGTAAGAAAAAAAAGGTCATTAAACAGTGTTAGCATTTTATATATTAACTTGTGTTATTTCCATTTCCAGGGACTCTTATAATACATATTGTAATTTAGTTGTTCGTCCGTCGAAGTCGACAAGGACCATCGAATCATCCGGTTAGGGGCGGGCGGGGGGTTAGGATTACGGTGAGCTCTGAGGTGGCTTGTTAGACCGATCCTTGCTCGGAATAATCTATGACACCGTGGGCATGGAATAGTTGCTTCAGACGATGACCTTATGTTGCTCTTTCGGACAAGCCTGCGTGTCTCAGCTGTGGTTATTCTCTTAGCTTCATGGGATTTAGCCCCCTTCTTGACAGCAGCTCTCCATCTGGCTCTGTCCTGGGCTGTCTGCACCCATTGAGTAGTGTTTATGCTGAAGGCCTTTAGTGCCACTTTCAGTGAGTCTTTGTAACGCTTTCTTTGGCCTCCTTGGGAGCGCTTGCCTATCGTGAGTTCTCCAAAGAATATTTGTTTCGGGAGCAAGTGGTCTGCCATACGGGCTACGTGTCCCATCCAACGGAGCTGAGACTGCATCAGAGTGGTGAAGATACTAGGTAGGTTCGCTCTAGCGAGGACCTAGGTGTCAGGGACTTTGTCTTGCCACCTGATGTCGAGGAGTTTCCTGAGGCAGGTAGTGTGAAAATGATTCAGTTTCTTGGCGTGATGCTGGTAGACAGTCCACGTTTCACATCCATAAAGCAGTGTCGGGAGGACTGCTGCGCTATAGACCATGAGCTTTGTTTCTCGACTGATACCTCTCCTGTCCCAAACAGTGCTGCGGAGCCTGCCAAATAGGGCACTAGCTTTTGCGAGTCTGCCAATCATTTCATCATCCATGACGACAGATATAGAGAGGGTGCTGATAGTTGGATGACTGATGACTTGCGCGGGTGACTTTTTTTAAAGTGAGGAAGAGTTGCGCAGCGTCAACCTCACTCTCTCGTCCGGACCCACCGTGTCCAGTGGCAAGACTATGTCAAGACGACCAGAAATGGGTACGGATGCAGTGGATGATCAAGATGTTCTACGTGCCTCATCTTGCTCTACGCACTCCACGGTGCGCTGCTGTAATCGCCTTCACCTCCGTTGAACCTAAATGGTTTCTTCCGCAGGATCTGCCGACGTCCAGTCTTTGCATGCATTAGGTAGGCAGACCTAAATCACCGAGGGCTTGAGGCCCATCATCTACCCACACCTGGTTTACCCAGCTAATGTAAGCCATTGTCCAGGATATGGCAGCTGTTGCATGCTGACAGCTTAGCAAGATGGCGGCCATGTGGGTGACACAAAAACTATCTCCAGCGTTCTAAAAATTTAAATGTGTTCCCATTTTAACCAAACCTAATTAATTGTTTAAATCGAAATTGGAATTCCAAAATTCATCAGCAGCTGTATGTGTTGGGGCATGCAGCCAAGTGTTAGTATTCATATGAACATTCATATTGGATTACACATCTATATTGTAATTGTATTTAGAAGTAGAAATACGTTGATAACAGCGAAAATTCTGATCCTGAATGAAACCGCAAATAAATAAAAGTTAATTAAAAGTTCGAATTTTCTTGCGCCGAAGCCAATTTCCACTAATAATTTTTAACTATCTCCCTTGCTTTACTGAAGCGCCTATCTCTGAGATTCCTTCCTTTTGTGTATTATTATACCGCCATCTTGTTGTAGCCGGAAGTCATATTGTAATTATCGCAACATGAACAAAGTCCAAGCCCTTATATGATTTTTTCCAAAAGTAAAATCTCCCCATGAAATGCTATGCATACAGAATAAATTCAACATGGAAAAGTCCCCACATGATCCCGCATATAAATATTCCTCACATTTTATGAGTGTGTGTTTGATGCAAGTGCATCCAAGGTTGTAAAGCTCAAAGTAAAGTGGATCTGTGGCTCAGAATTCAAATTAATACATACTTTTTTTATTAATCAGAGTGTAAGAAATTTGAACAATAGTGTCAATATTTCAATGTTTTGAGCATACCCTAGAGGAAAAATGTGTAAAACAATGAAATGAATATATAATGTATTTTAAAAAAAACTTCTTAATTGTCATTTTTATAACTTTTTTCGTAAATTTAGTGGAACCAATTAAATATCTCTATGCTCAATATATTTGTTGATCCAACATATTTTGGGCAAATTTAGATACCTGTACAGTATTTGATTCTAAATACTGTATTATTTTCCAAATTAGGCAACTCCCTATTTTACTTCTCATTGTTTACTGATACCTGCATTTTCTTATTTATTATTGTTTACTACCAGTGTTCATCTACCAGCTACTACCTCCGAAGAAATGTGTTAAAAAATTAAAGCTTACATTTAAAAAAAACAATGAAACTGTAATTTTTATACCAGGTTGTTAAAAAGACTTGTAAACATACCTTTAACCTATCAACAAAATGATTGAAATGGTGGAATCAATGAAAAATTTCTTTGCTCACTACATATGATGTCAACATATTTTTTATACCATTAATTTTATAATCATTATTATTTTCATTTCTTTGCTAAATACTTAGTTAAAAACTTACTTTATGGGGAAAAATGTGGCCAATAACCTGAAAAATACCACATTAAACTAATTTCCATTGCTATAAAGGCCTATATTTTGAATTTCTATTTTTTTAGAATATAATTTATGTAGATCAGCTTTAAAAGAAGGTTGCATAATTGCATAATGTAATCATGCTTTAAAAATATAGTTATTATTATAATTTTTGCCATATATAAAAAATGTATAAAGTTGTCATTCAGGCATTTTCTACGAAAAAGTATTTTTTCTCATTTTTATCTGGTTATAACTTGGAAATATTTAAAAAGGTATTTTGCTTTTATATATTTGATTTTTTTGAAATTCATTTATTAATGAAGGTGTTTATTGAAATAGTTGCGTTTTTAAAAATATATATCAATAAAAAATACTATTCAGTAACAACTTAACACATAATATCTGTATAAACACAAAGTCATGAGACACCAAAATTCTGTTTCTCTCAGATTAAGTGTAGAATGATGCAAAACTAAATTTAGGTATGCACCAAAATGCATCACTACATTTTAAATTTATAAAAAATTCTCAGGGGAATGACTCAAAACCATGACTGCTGATTTACCCCCTCCCCCACGACCATTAATAAGACTGTACGGGTTGAAACTAAGCATACCCTGAGTTGCTCCACAAACACTTTGAATTCAGGTGCCAAAATGCCTAATTTGCACGCTGATAGATGCCCCCCCCCCCCCCCCCCCCCCTGAAATGTCTCCTCCCTGGATAGAATTTTCTAAAAGAAACACTGATTGTCAGCCAAATTGCACCCCTTGATTTTGAATTAATCCAAAAAAAAATTTGGAGATGGGTTGAACCTCTCCTACTACTCAGAATGACAGTGTTGGCACCTTATGGGGGGAAAAAATACTAGATGTTAGATATTAAAATGATTTTCTTGACTAAAAAAATATATCAATTTTCATTTAAATTTTTATATAAAGTTGAGCTTTTAGATTCAAGCGGTAAAACTTACTAGAGACCTAAAGCATATGCTCAAATAAAATTGATTTATTTTATGTTGGGGGGTGGAGTTATAAGTGATTCTGGTCACCCAGTGATGTAGCTAGGGTGGTAAGTGCCAACCTAGGTATGCTTAAATTATTGCCACCCCATTCAATGATATAAACTCTGCAGTCGGTCAAAAAAGTTGCCCCCTTCATGAAATTAAAAATATGCCCCCCCCGGGGGGCGGACTGCCTCCTCTGCCCTCTTTTCCTATGCCACTGGACCTGTCCGCTCAAATATCTGAAATGCCACCCGCAACAAAATGTCTGAAAGAAACAATGGTTTTGAGTAGGCCTGTTATTTTCATTAAGCTCGCAGGTCACATCTCTGTGTTAATGCCAGTTCAGACACGCCAGCATTTTGAAAACTATAATTTAATCATTTTCATTTTTCAATAAAATTAAATTTATTAACTAAATTACAATCCTAAAGGCCTAGTGTAGGTATTTTTTGCTAATTTTTTAAGCAATGTCCCATTTCTTCTCAAGTCAACAGAAGTGACCACAATGGCAGATGTGTCCATTACAGCTAGTTTTTTCTACCAACAAGCAAGCAAGGGTGGGTTAGAAAACAAATTGAGACACAACCATGGGATCCTAACACAACATTGTATAGTATAATGTAATGTTCTCTTTTACTTGCAAACTCTCTCTCTCTCTCTCTCTCTCCGCTCTCTTACATTATATGAATCATTACAGTGAAGTTCCCTTCCCTTCTCCCTTATGACCAAATATACACTGTATTTGTGGAACCACCTGATGCTAAGGTTTCAATGCAGTTAACTATTCATGAAGGATTTTAAGTCTTTTTCCAATCTTCCTTCACTGTCCGACATCTTTCTGAACCACACTTAAAAAAAATTAAAATTCTGATTATTCTATCATACTTGGTGTTTGGTTAGAGTTCCAAATATCTGTAGGTAAAGCAAGAGCCCTTTGGCCTTCTGTGTAACTTCCATGATATTAGCCAAATATCCACCATTTGTTTCCTACTATAAGTTAGTATAAGGTGCCTAATTAAATTAAGCAGTCCTCACTGTTTTAAATTTATAGTAGGCTATTCTTTGATTTCCCTTTTATCTTATTTATTCTTATCTTTAATTCTAATCTTTTATTTTTTATTTTTTATTTCACCATAACAAATTCTTTGATTTTGTATGACATTTCATCTCATAATTCATTTAATGAGTCTACGTTTGTCTGTCTCTGTATTTTCGTTGTTGTGGAAGGCTTCTACTTCTAGAGTCTAGGCCTAGACCAAGGGCCAAAAACGTCCAATTATATAGTATTGCCCTTCTTAAAGTTTTTTTTCTACACTGTGTAAACTGTGTATATGTATATTTCAGTAAATTCAGAGAGAGCGGCCTGCGTCTATTTCCATGGCCGCCATCTCGACACACGCACTTTTATGTCTTAAATCGATCCCTATGCCTAACCCGAATCCTAAATTGATCCCTATGCCTATGCCTAACCCGAACCCTAAATCTATCCCTATGGCCTATGCTTAACCCCAACCCTAAATCGATCCCTATGCCTAACCCTAACAAAGTCGATGTGGGCCGCTAAATCTGAAACAGCCTATATTTCTTCTTATTTTTTAATGTTCTAACCAACTTCAACCTGAACGCAGTCCTTCTTGTTACATCGCGCTTCTGACAGAAGTTCTGCCTCTGAGTTTATTATGATTTCATTAATTGACGTTGTATTTCAATTTTTTGAATTGTTAACACTACTTGGCACTTAACGATAATACTTTTACAGAAAATATTAGTCCCAGTCATGGCAAATATGAATGTCAAAATAGCACAATTTATCACTTAATTGTCTTTTGGTAAACATAACTTACTCAAAAAAACAAACAAAATATGCTCCAACCTAGCCTTAACCACTTTTAGCTGTTTACGATTGCGAGATGATGAAACAGGAAGTAATTCTTTTATTATTTTTCTTTTTATGAAATTGTTCCGTATAGCTATGAGCCAATGGGGCCTTAAGTTGTCATTTTGGTTTCTTTCAAGATTAATAAACAATTTCGGTTTTCTTTATAACTTTAATTCTCAGTAAAGGTTTAATTGGTGCCACATTTTCTTTTTTACTTTTGTCATATATATAAATATTAATGACAATTATTTGATAAATTCTTTCAGGGAAAAAAACTATTTTGAAAGTCTGAAAGACCGAGTTAAAATTAAAAAATTTCATGCATATAAATTATTATAAATATATACAGGGAAATAAAATTGAAATCAATATGATATTTTCGTTATCATTAAACAATACATCGCTGGCTTTGCATATCAGGAAAAAATAAGATTTTTACATATTTCATACAATTTTATTGAAGTGTTTCATGCAGTTACCTGGAACTGGCAGATGATGAAATGGTTAATGTAATGATTGTTTAAACTTAGAAAGTTGTATATTATATTTCAATTTCATAAGCAAAAAAATAAGTATATAATAAACAGACATTGTTTTAATCAGGATTAAAATAATTAATAACAGTGTAGTTTCACTATCACGATTATTGTCATTCATCAGCAAATGTCCTACTTCTTTACTCGCCATCTCCCATAAGGAAATAATAGAACATGATATGTTAAAGCTTAAAAGGGGAAAACTGGACATACACACGAAAGTTTCGGCTAGCAGCCTTTATCAGCAGACAAAATAACAACGTTTTTTAATTTTTAATAATGCATTTCTCGGGAAATCTATGGCTATGGACTATGGTATTATGCTATAAATTATATATCTCCTGCCAGAAAAGTGGTTTTATTCTCAATACCCTAGCATATTTGCAAGTCTGCATCTTTAGAGGATATAGTAGTATTAAGTGATTAATGGAGTTTTCACAACCCCTTCTATTTAAAATATCGGAAAGACCATTTAACTTATATTTAAAGTGTATTTTAGTTAGCCGAGACTAAAAGTGAGCAGAGACATCTAAGTCTTCGGGGTTTTGTTCCGGGATTTTGACTTTTATTCGGCTTGGAGTTTCTAGGGATTATCACTTTACCACAGGAAATTTGCCAGAAGTCAAGTAATAGATAGGCCTGGTCAAAGCATTACGTAGTTGCTATCTGGTATGTTCAAGCGACCCAATTTATAGTGCGCGTGCAAATTATTTTTTTAATTCAAATTTGTAATCGCATCCCAAGAGTCTAAAGTGCACCAGTATAAGTTAAAAGGCCTTTATATCCAGTTCATCCGGCCCGCCAACGGTACTTGAATTTGCTTGATAAAACGTATGTTTACCCACAAAGGAGGAAAACGTGTTGGATTTTACCGCTGCTAACCTGATGTTGAATTTAACTGAATAGCTTTGCCTCTGGTATGGCATCAGTGTTTGGAACAACTTATGTCTGTGATCAAAAATTTTCAAAAATGAAATATGTGAAGTCAACACATCGAACGAGAGTGACTGATAAACATTTGAAAACAATTCTCTTGATTGGATGCAGCAATTCGAAACCAATCATTGATGAAATCTTGTATGCCTAACGTCAATTTCATAAATCTCACTAACTTTTTTTTTTGCTTCTTAGTTTGTGAGGTCGAACATGTCCGCACTAGGTCTGAAGGAACGATATTTTTGCTAACGCCACCTTCTTTGATAACTATTTTAGAAAATAAATAAGTTTGATTTCTTTGTTTGTTTTTTTTTTGTTTTTTTGTTGTTTTTTTTACATTGTAGGCCATTCATCCATCATTAACATGAAACACTAAACTAAGTATTTCGTCTTTTTTTTTTCCCCAGAGCTTTCGGTATTTGCAAGTACCGGTATTTTAAAGTATGGTACAGAATGATTATCCGGCCCGCGCTCGTCATTTTTTTTCCGTTATCCGGCCCACCGTGAAAAAAAAGTTTGGAGACCCCTCCTGAAGATATGCTTAATTTATTTGGCATACACCCTTTATTCGATCAGTAGTATGCATTGATCATATAAGTAGTGGTGAATTTGTGGAATGAGAATTTTATTGATTGGAAAATCGGACACAAGGGATCAGAGGCGTAGCGAGGGGGGGCAGGGGGACAGATGTTCCCGGGCGCCAGCTAGTTAGGGGCGCCAAAATGTGCTTTGATATTATTTTATTGATGAAAATAATGAGCTTGATAGTTGAAAAAAAAGAAAAAGGGGCGCTTTAAAATGGGTCTTGTCCCCGGGCGTGAATCTTGTTCCAGGGCGCCAAACACCCTCGCTACGCCTCTGCAAGGGATACAGGACATGGCCTTTAGCATTCTAATGTGTTTCCCAAACGCGGGGCCCAAGCCCCTCTGGGGGGCGGCAATTCGAAAAATGAGCTGTCTAGATTGTGAAAACCAACCGTATACTATGATTTAACTTGTATTTTAAAAGGAGAATCGTTAAAGACTCAAGTCTCATTAAAAGTGTTGTAAAAATCATGTAGGTTTCTTCAGTGAACAACCCTATTTTTTTAATATCAAACATTATGTATATGCTACATGGGGGGCATACGAATTTTAGAAAGGCTGTGGTGGAGCATGGCACAAAAAAGGTTGGGAAACACTGCTCTAAGCAGTGGCGTAGAAAGGGGGCGGATGGTCCCTCCATTGTGGCATTTTTTTACCCTACTTAGGGGTGGACGGCGTTTTTTGGCCAAGTGCAATAAAAAGAAATGGATTTTAGGGATTGAAAGACGCAAAGCATCCTTTAATTTTACTACTCATTATGAGATACTGGAACTTTTAAAAAATGGCTAAAATCTGAAGTGGATTTAGCATTTTATTCTGACCTAGTTGAATATAAATATTGGGTGGAGAAAAAGGAGGGGAGTAGAAAAACAACACGTCAACTACGGCGGTAGCCATCCAATGATGGTATTTGAGGAGATATATTTTCTTTTGATGACATGGGTTGATATGAAATAACAAGCCCAAAGCAGGCCCATGTGACAGCTGGAATAATATAGACCAACACTAAAAAAAAATTAAAAATAATAAATATGCTGTAGCCTTCGTCGGCGCTCAAAAAGTCGGTTAAATTTTAAAATTCATAAGAGTTTTTAAAAAAATAAGTAAAAATAAAAATAATGAGAAATACAATACAACCTCCAAAAGTTAGAACACAGGAGAAGCAGCTATTTAATAAAGATAGGGCCGAAACTCTAAAAATATCAAATTTATGTGGGATATTTTGATTGCATGCATAATATAATTGTAAGTACAGTTCATAATCAATAAAAGTTCAATAATTCTGAAATATTTAAATTATAATTTCACTGATTTTATTTTATGCCGCCATCGGATTTTGTTACCCGAAATGCATGGTTTAGTATGGTCTTATAGTAAATCAAACACTGCAATTATGACTTTGAAAATTTTCAACTGTTTAAACTATTTTTTTTTCCTTTATCTGATACATGGTAAGATTAAGGCGCTTGAGGCTCTAGGAACAGTTATAAAAGGGACACATAAATGTCTATGCGTTGTTCATAGTAGATAGTGATCGTAGCTGGAGCCCCTTGATCCCCGTGGGGCTAAAATATGGAGCATGTAGTCGTAGTACCATTACGTCATGGCAATATTAAAGAAGACTAAATAAAACGTGGAACCAAATATCCCTTAAATATTTGAAATTTGTTTACATTTTTTAATGAAAAAAATCCCCAATTGACAAACCGCTTCTAAGCCTACCGGCCCGGATTCTTATTAGTAATTTAACTCAGTGCCACAACTTAATGGACGGCGCACCCGGACAATGGTAGTAGGCTCCTTTAGCCAACATAGCTTTTTTTTTAAACTGTATATGCTGGTACATCGCATCGGCACCTTTTAAAAAAAAAACAACCAATTGATTAGAGAAGAAGTTCAAAGAAATTTAGTAGTCTTAAAGTCTTATACCAGTTTTTTTTTTAAATACTATAGAATAACATTTCTCAGTGCGCCCTTCACCAGACCCCTATCCCCACTTTGAAATGGCTCGGGAGCCTTTGACACCCTTTATATCCTTCTCTCTCCCCTGGGCCGATCAAAGTGACGTACCGACCGACACGTTTCTATATGTTGTAAAACTTGGAAATAACTCAAACCTTGAGACCGAAGCAAAAGTGGTGTTATTTGTGTTAATTAAAACTTTAATTACTCCTCTTTTCCCCTACCCAATCCCCTTTCGTCCCCATGCCCACTCCTCCTAAATTCCACTGCCTTTAGTGATAAAAACAATGATGTTTTCCAAGAGATAAAAATTATATGCGATTGGCCTTGAAAAATAATTCTTTTGCCACCCTTGTCCAGTGCAATCCATTTGGTACATGCATCCTAATATCATTTTGAAAGCAGCCTATAAACGTTATTTATTAAATGCAGAGTTGTGAAAGACAGACGGATCACAGAAAGAGCCGTCGCGTAACTTTAGGAAGCCGCCCAGCCCCTTTTTAGGTTTGTGAACCCCTCATTCAAAGTTAATGAATAATAGTTTAATTATTTTCCACTTCACAACTTTGGACCCTTTAAATATCCATTCCAAGGCTCTCTCGACGGCTCTTATCACATAAATAAGCTACATGTTAGATATCCAATAGCTTTCTCTATTGACATCATTTTCGGAATGGATCATTGTAAAGGGCGTTACATCTTAAAAATGGCAACGTAACTTAATTTTAAATAAATTGCCAAAAGAGCAAACGCAGATTTCAGATTCAACCAGGATCTTTGAAAATGATTTTGCGTTTATTTACGTTAATTTGTGGGACTATGTGAGTTTGGAACTCCGTGCAAAGTAGGAAGTGGATCCCCACGTGTGTTTCCTTTTTGAGCCGTGATCGTAAAGGTAAAGAGTGATTTTACAATGTTTTAGTAATCGGCATCTAAAATATTGGTATATTCCTGTTACAAACTCTCTGTTAAATGGATTTTATTGTTCCCGTTAATTTACGTTCAATTAGTGAGCGAAATATTAATATTTTAGATTATAATAG